TTGTTTTTGTCCACGTACTGTTTTCCTCTTTTGATCTTTTGTTTTTACTTGTACTTGAATTTATGCTTAGCTCGCGAATTTACTTGTTGCCACATTAGGAATGTTATTTTACTTGTGGTCGTGTTTGTGGTGTTAGAGATGACCTTCGTCCTTTGGTACTTGTCACTTGCGACTGTGCGTAGGCTAATCTATTCCCTAACAATAACAAACCTGTCGCAATAGCGATAAGGTATACAATAGAACCTCTTCCGGTCAGTTAACCCAAATATGTCCAGCTTTGGCTATTAAAACCGCTACACTATACTTGAACTAGTAAGTAGGAGGAGTAGAGTAGAGGTAAGAGAAGTTAGTAGAACTGAAAACGTTGTTGAGTAAGTAGAAGTTGTAAGAAGAATAAAGGCCAAGATGTAAATCAGATTCCTGGTATCTCATCGTGTAGCGAGCGAGTTGCTCGAACACACCCCCACACTTGTTTTTTATTCTCACGGTCAGCTAACCCAAACATGTCCAGGTTTGGCTGTTTTCACGGCTACTATTCGGCTTGTTAGTTGGTTAGGAGTTTGGTAAGAGTTTATTACGAGTTGCTTGTAATTTAGTGGTGAGTTGTAGGAGTTAGCTATTAAAGAATAAATTAATATAGAACTGAAGACAAAGATGCAAACAAATACTCTGGGTACCTTAAAGCTGAGCGAGCGAGTCATTGTTCGAGAAATCCCGAACACAATATAACGTGACTCTACACTCACCGTACAGATCAGGGCACCCAACGACTGTTTTCTGCAAAATGTCTGTTCGGAGAAGCACTTATTGCCTAGAATTTAAAAATTTCTAGATGACCGTTCCATTCATGTAAAACTGATTTTCGACGCTTTCGACGACTTTCCGTACTTAAATTTCTCCACATTCTCTCTTGAAAAAGAAAGCCTACATTTTCGGATTCGAAAAGGTGATGGAGAGAGGAATCAGAAAAATCCTCACTTTCGTAATACGTTAAATTGCATCTAAAATTTTCGGGCAAGTAATACTGAAGCTCTTGTAATTTGGAAAAGAGTCACAAGTCCCCCTACGATGACCAACGAGATACAAATTTTATAGCGCCGCTTAGAATGCATTTCTGGAGATCTAAAAATACTCTGGACAGCCTAAACACGGTTTTTAAAGTATTTTCGAGGAAACCATCGTTGGGTGCCCCTGACAGATCTAATGTCATGATGAAGTGACGTGGAAAGGTACCGTAACCGTCACCTACTGGTTACTGGTGCTCAAACCTTATTGGTCGTAGCATACTTCAGTGTAGGCGTTGTCAAACTCTACGTTTGAAGGAATGTATGTAACTTAACTTAGCCTGCGTAGCAAGCGTTTCCAGTCGAGTTATAGCGCGAAAGTTAGAGCGGGAGCAAAAAAAAAAATGGAAGGGGAAGGGGGAGGGGAGAAGAGGAAACACTTGCCCGCAAACCCCACGATTCTGGAAAACGCCCCTTGATATTTCACGGTTCGGTTCATTTGTAAATTGAAAGCTCGTCAAGATAGATAACGAATAGATTACCAGATTTGAAAAAATTACTTTGTTCCCTAAAACACGCTCCACGGATTGCAAAACTGTAATAAAAAGAAGCTTTACTATAAAAGAAGGTTGAAACTCTAAGCGATTTTTGCGGAATTTCTTGTTCTTTATAGTTGAGTTAAAATTTTAACGTTATGTGTCAAAACGTCTCAAAGAAATGATTTGTCCGGAACAATTCACTCCGCCGGCTATGAGTTTTGCAGAGCAGCTGCTCTCCAAAGGCCAGCCAGTGTCGAAAAGTTCTCTACAATACATGCCGCTCAATTTCCAATCACTTGTCCATGGCGGCTCTAGCTAGTGACTAGTACTCGATGTTCTGATTTACTTTGATGTTATCTCAAACAAACAGTCCATCTTTTCCAGTCAGATACGTACCTCGTCATTCCCAATACTGAATTGGCCTTCACTAGTGTCCACTGCTCGATCTCCAATTATACTTTTGATCAAAGAGACTCAGATCTGATAAACCTTCGCACAAACATTATTCAAATAAATATCCGACCAAAGCATTTGTAATCTGCGACCACAAATCAGATCAGACCAGATCTGCGACGCACGTAAACAAAACATACCTGGTTTGATTGATGTATTGATTGCTATAATTAATCAACACTACCAGCACCGCACCAATCAAAAGCTGCGTTCGTGGGTGAACGCAGTTTTTCAAAATCGTGGGGTTGCGGGCAAGCGTTCCCTTCGCTCCCTTCCCCCTCCCCCCTCATTCCTTTTTTTTTTTGCCCTCGTTCCAACTTTCTCGACGAACTCGCGCGGAACCTACCTCAAAACTCACCATTGCTTAGTGTAGTGTATGAACAGTTGAACTTGAATTCATGGAAGAGTGATTGCAATTTATGCTATAAACAACTGTGGCAAAGATCTTCCTGTAGATAGAGGTTTGTTTTATCATACATTTTATTATTAATAATTATTAGCTTTTACGGCAAAGAATGCCTCGCTGCCGAGCTAATCAGGTTTAGTCGAGAAAATAGGTTGTTTGCGACTACCTACCCTTGTGTAAGTTATCTGATAATAAGGTATACAATAAATTTCATCAAGGAACACAAACCATAATTTTTGGAGGGGGGAGATTTTTGCAGGCATAAAATTAAAGCATTAAAAAAAGCTTTTTCCAAAGTTCAATCCATGTCCATCCCTACCATCCGTAGCGACAGAAGATCAACGGCAGAACCCAATTTCAATGCATAAATCTAGTCTTCAATTATAACAAGAATGTGACTATTATGTTTGGAATTCCAAAAGATAGCAAATAGCGTGACAAAGACCCTCGTTCCTGACTATTAGATGTTCTCCTCATAGCAGTTGTCAACCGTCCAGTTGCATGTTTGTGCTCTTTTGCAGTGTTTTTGAGGCAGTAGTTCTTTACGTAACTAGTGAAAACTTCCGTCATTTTCTCCAGCTCCGAACTCACAAAAACAGCTGAGCCAAGTCACCGCTTTTTGCGTGACGTCGATCGTCTAAAATTTTCTCTTAATTTATCCCATTATTGACGTCGGTGGCCTGGCTCAGGGGTAACAGAACGTCTTCCAAATTTGGTTATGAAGAATGTGCTTGCGACTAGTAGTTTCCATTGGAAAGTGAAGTGCTTATGCAGAAATAAAATAACCTTTCATGCAGTTTGAATAAGTTTTTAATACGTTGCAGTTTATTTCGAATATAGGATTCTGATAATTTATGTTTGACAAAACAGAGCCAAATTGTCGGAAACGCAACTGTGCATGTAAACGCAACACGACAGGTAGGTTATCGATGAAATCTGAACTTCTATGAACCAAGACAACTCATTCATTACGCTTCGCGTATTCACTTATTTAAAAAGAAATCGCTTTCTATCTTCGCTGCTATCGTAAAATACGAGACGTTTTACTACCAAGGGAGAGCAAACATTGCCACACTTTTCAGAAAAGCTCTTAACAACTACAGCAATTTATCTATTAAATAAATACAGCAAATTAACCATTTAGCCAAAACATCAGTTCACCGTAAAGTTCCAGGAAATACGTCAAATATTCTGAGAAACACATCGCTATAATTTACGGAAATTTGTATTACCTGCGCTTGCTTTCAAATTCTTTGCCCACAAAAACGTGCCTTTTCTATACGAAACAGGATTTCTCCGCGGCTTTGAGTTTTCCACATCCCACTTTATCGATAGTCGAGTGTTCATAAGGTTTCCTTTCTGAATCGATTGACGGTGAACAAAAGAGCCTCGATTTCGAGGGCCATACTTGAAATCGAGGCAAATTCGGTGATATAGATACATACATACATACACACATACATACATACATACATATTTACATCCAAGATAGCTCAAAAGCGGATGATATCAGGCACAGGCAACCCAGCCTGATCACATACGAGACCTGAATTAGTCAGGCTTCTGAGCAATAAGTCTTCAAGCTAGTGAGACAGAAATATTTTGAGTGAATATTTTTTTGCCAAAAATTGGGCATAGATCGTTATCATTGTTGTTGTGTAAAATAGGCTAGGTTAAAGTTTCGGTGACGAAACCCAATGGACGGCTTGGCATGGACAGTTTGTCCATCCGAAATATCGAGAAACCTCAAGTGGCTTTTGTC